TTATGGGTTATGAAGAGATGGTTGATCGTACCTAGGTTTGAGATATGTTGATTAGGTTCAGGACTTTAGTTCCAACAGACTATCTGTCTGTTCCCACAATGGAACTTGGAAGTTGCGTTGTGTTTTAGTTAGAATGAGTTGACCAAATAATACGACTTGAAATCGGGTTGGTTGTAGCTATGTATCAATGTATCAATGTATCAATGTATCAATGTATCAATGTATCAATGTATCAATGTATCAATGTATCAATGTATCAATGTATCAATGTATCAATGTATCAATGTATCAATGTATCAATGTATCAATGTATCAATGTATCAATGTATCAATGTATCAATGTATCAATGTATCAATGTATCAATGTATCAATGTATCAATGTATCAATGTATCAATGTATCAATGTATCAATGTATCAATGTATCAATTTGTATCAATGTATCAATGTATCAATGTATCAATGTATCAATGTATCAATGTATCAATTTGTATCAATGTATCAATGTATCAATTTGTATCAATGTATCAATGTATCAATGTATCAATGTATCAATGTATCAATGTATCGATGTATCAATGTATCAATGTATCAATGTATCAATGTACCAATGTATCAATGTATCAATGTATCAATGTATCAATGTATCAATGTATCAATGTATCAATGTATCAATGTATCAATGTATCAATGTATCAATTTATCAATGTATCAATGTATCAATGTATCAATGTATCAATGTATCAATGTATCAATGTATCAATGTATTAACAATTAGGAAAGATGATAGGTTTTACTATGTCTTTGGGATGCGGTCAGGAAGTGGTGAATTATGGGTGTGCCCAGGGGTTTTATAGGTTGGATCACATGTCCATCACGGGACTGCTACGTGTGACCCATACGGTAAGTTTGGAGGTCCTGATTGGTGGGGACTATTGACGTAGGATTTACACACACGGAAACGATTATATTGGTCATCGTTTCCGCTAGCAGCATGAGCTGGACCATTACCCCATTAATGGATCAGTGCGTTATAAATCACCTTAACGTTTTCAAGCCAGGGTTTTTTTACTTCTGGCGTCACAATCACTTAAGTGGATTGTTCTCATTAACGTCTTAATCATTTAAGTGGATCCACTCCTTTTGCGGTTGGCTGGCAGAGGTGCTGTCGGGAAACACATGTGCATGAGCTGGCTCATTAACTTCTGGCGCCATGCCCAGCACCGGTAGACAGCTGGCAACATACCAACAAGGGATGGACTTATTATAAGGACTAAGGCGGGCAAAGGTATGGTCCCACAGTACCAAAGTTCTACAAGGAAACACATATTACTCCAATCTTCAAAAAAGGTGACAGAGCCAGAGCTGCGAATTACCGGCCAGTTGCTCTCACGTCTCCATATCATAAAAGTGTGTGAACGTGTTCTCCGGGTCGAGTAATGGTTGATTTCATAGAGAAGAATCAGCTACTCGCCTACTCTGTGACAACCAGCATGGGTTCCGTTCAGGGAGGAGCTGTCTGACCCAACTGCTGAGTCATGTGGATGACATAGTACAAGGCTTGGTTAACAATGCTGACACGGACGCCATTTACCTGGACTTCGCGAAAGCTTTTGATAAAGTGGATCACTGGTTGCTTCTTCTGAAAATGAAACGGATGGGGTTCCACGAAAAGCTGATAAAATGAATCGAATCCTTCTTGACTAACCGCAAGCAGTTTGTAGTACTGAATGGAGTGTCATCACTTGCTGCTGTAATCCTGAGCGGAGTGCCTCAAGGAACTGTTTTGAGTCCGTTGCTTTTTATACTTTTTTATTAACGAAATGAAGTTGTGAGTCACCGGATCAATCATCAGGTTCTTTGCAGTACAGATGATACCCGAATTCTAATTCTACGACACATCTATAATAGTCTAGCAGATGTTGAGATATTACAGCATGATCTCAACTGTGTCGTTAAGTGGGGAAAATGCAACAACATGGCACTTCACGAGGATAAATTTGAGCTACTTGTCTACAAACATTGTCCTCAAAACACCTTGCTAGACCACCCATTTGCCATCCTAACCCAATTATACCAAGTCTCAGACGGCAACATGTTTTACCTTTCCAAAATAGTTGAAGTTTTAGGCCTTAGGGGTGATGGTTTCAGCTGACTTATTTTGAAGCCCCCACGTTACTCTTATAGCCGAACGTGCGCGCGTGCTCGTAAATTTGCTGCTTGGGTTCTGTGTGTGTTTAAAACGAGAAACAAAGTCACCATGCTGACTCTCCAAAAATCTCTCATCAGAATCCATTTCACATTTCGAGTACTGTTGTGGCCCCTTATGGAATATTTCAAAGAGTGCAGACGTCAAACAACTGGAAGGGGTTCAGCGCACGTTCACAACGATCGAATAAATGGCCTACAACATCTAAAATACTGACAGAGACTTAAGGCCTTAAATTTGATGTCATGTCGTTGCAACGGAGGAGAGAACGATATACCTGCATCATCCATATATGGAAAGTGCTGCACGGCAAGTGCCCAAATGATGTCAACATCCAGTTCTCCGCAACACTCCGACCGCCGACGCGACATGGCCAAAAGGCAGTTATTCCCACTCTGAATAAATCTTGACATACGTTGCATGCCACTTTTCGTGCGCGAAATATTTGGGATACGTAACATGTATCAAAATAAATCTAACTAGCAGTCAGCGCAACCAAACGCTCTACGATAATTCGTGTGCAGTAATTGGACCTCGATTGTGGAACTTAATTCCACCAAACATGCATACTATCGAAGATCCCCTGCAGTTTAAAGAAATGCTTACAACGTTTGTGAAATCATTCCGGGAGAAGCCTCTAATGCTCTAATGGCAGGATACAGCTGTCGAAATGGAAACTCGTTACTGGACTGGATTGGAATAAAGCCAGCGATCTCGCTGTCCGGGTGGTCAGCAACTCTTATGACCCGATAGCGGATAGAGAATTCAATGAAGCACACCAAAGTAACCAAAGTAAGTAAATGCCAAATTAAAAGCGAGGTCTCCACCAACAGAGAATATAGGATCGTCTCCCAAATTATCAGCATCATCAGCAATTGACTCCTGGATTGGCCCTCCTTGAGTAACAATTTATCTTCCCGGGTTCGTGATTTACAGCCCGAACCTGAACAAAGTTATCAAAAACTTATAATCTCTGAAAACCTATAAGAAGATTTTGATTTGAATAGAGTTTATGGCAGACTACAAGTTGAGGTGGTATTATATATAACAATCCGTGCTGAGGCTTATATATATAGACATGTTACTTATGTGATGCTTTAGCTGCACTGCAGCAGGGCCATCAAGTAAAATGACCACTCTTATGCTTTACTTCGGACAACCATGGCTTTATAGTCACGGCATGTAACCGGCACTTACAGGAAACCGAAGGATCAAGTCTAACGCCAGCGACGGTTAAGGTATTATAAACCCCTCCGGGTCAGAATAAGATTCTGATAATCCCGGCTCCCGCTGTTAGTTTTTTCCCGCTGAATAAATAACCCCGGCACAGCTTCTATAATCCCGCCCTGGTTATTTGGCTCAACTAGATTTGTTCTGTTTTGATATTACATGAGAATTTCAACCGCGCACTGTCACGTGTTTTGATGACGTGTATCACGTGACTAACTACTACGACGCGCATTGGTAAAACATGTCACGTGACCTATGGCTTAACGTAAGAACTATTTAATACACTTGATCTACGTATCGGTCTAACTGCAGGCGCTGGCAAAACTCCAACACACTGCTTACATTACTTAAACTCTTACATTAATTGGACCAGTTCCAGAACTTGTCTCGACGGTTACATTTGATTTTGTCCGGTTAATTTTGTCGTGTTTGTTATAAGCCATGTATTATATTATATATAGTCGTCTACTTTGATGGACTTCATGACACGATATCATTATTAGCTCCACCTTTTATCGCTTGCCAGGCTTAACTCGACGCCCCTTATCGATATTCATATTCATTCAACGTTCTGACTGAGGAATAATGTTTAGATATAACGCCAATTTCAAAAAAAAAATTGAAATATAATCCCTGCGCTTGCCGGGGTTATGTGTGTTATACCACACTTTCTTCGCCCGAAGCTTCGCTGTATTGATCATATACAGCTCCTCATTCAACCCTCACACACGATTTCTCGAGCATTCGGCTGAGTAGACCGGGGGGCTGCATAGGTTCAACGGAACCCTCAGCAGAGCGTCAACGACGCTCACCCCATGGCTAGCGGCACAGACGGGAATCGTACTTGGGACCCTGTGAATCATGAATGCGAGGTATTTCACAAGCAGGCCGACTAACGAACTGCGCCACATATGGGTCTATATTGTGCATTATCATTATCTCCTCTGTCAGAAGAAACTATAGAGTCGGTTTCGAGAGAAGACCTCCCCCCTCGGCCCCCTTAAAAATATCAGGCAAGATGCAGTATGTCAGTTAGCATTAAACCAAGTAGAATGGAGTAACCTGCAGCTACTTTGTACAAGAGATTTGTGTGATGCATGCCACTCCAACGATCAGGAGGATACCTCTTCATGTAGCATGTATATATGTAGCTAATTTGAGTTAATTTGAGCTGTGATATATTGTTTGATTATTGAATTTGTTCAAGATTCTTACCAGATCTTCTTTTATAAGTTTTAAGTATACTGGCCAATTTTTGTTAGGATTAGAGTGTATTGTAACAAAATTAGTGTTACAATAACCATCTGAGTTCCGATATGCGTGGCTCACTGTCAATGGCGCCCTCTTTGTTAAACGTAGCTTAGGCACATGGGTAGTGTAGGTGAAAGGTATAGGGTTAGGATAACAAAAATCAGGTTATTTTTTATTGTTATTGAGCAGATTCAGTTATTCTCGATACTTTTGTTCATCTATTTTAAAGTGCTCATGCTTATGAATCAGTTGAAAAAATGTTATACAATTTCAAAAAGTGAAATGGCCAGGAGTCGACTAAAACATTTGGATGATTTCTAATTAATAAGTAAATTTTACTATATGGCATAAACATCAACATTCTAATATTCTACACACTAACTTCAATTTGATAAGGAGAAAAACTGAATAATTACTAAACTCAACAGTAAACAATTCCCATTTAAAAATTACATGACATGCTTAAACTGTATTTTTAGTTCTAAAAATTGTTCCGGACTATTTCATTCTTCGCCATGAGGCATGATGCTGAATCATAAATCCCAAGCATAAATCAAATTTATTCGAATATATATTTATTGATTGTGCATGAATTGATGATAAATAATAAAATTGTCTTTTCTCAAAAAATTGTCTTTTCTCTCCAAATAGGCAAATAATAATATTATACCCTTTCGTTGGTTTAAACTATCGTATCTTAATCTACGTCCATGCTGTTCTTTTAGCCCGACATCGCTTATTCAACTGAAATTAAAGTTGCAAATTGGAAATCGTTTTTTGAATAAGTAAAAAGAAAGGAGGTATACATATTTTGGAATGAAATTTCAAATAACCAAGCATGTATAATGATAACATGATTGAATTATAGTTTACCTCTTTCGCCATAAGTTTCCACCTCGCAAAGAGTTAATTTTTTCCCAGAAGTTTGAATGATTTTAATCATATCTGCGATTGTATCCCCATTGTGTCTGCATTCGATGGTGTAAGATAGTTTTCCACTTTGATAGTCTATTCGACCACAAATTTTAACCAAACTGCTTCCATGAAAGGCTTGAACCTTAAAAATTATGGGGTTATTGATATAGTTAATAAACTTACAATAATTTTTCTCCTTTAAATATCATTATTAAATATCTGTGTTGTAGTTAGGAACTTTTAATGTGTTAGAATAACAGATTTAATCGTATCTGGAAAAACTAAGAAGGAACTATGTTTGAGAAAAACTTTGCTTTATCAGTTCTACTTTGATACCTGGCTGCTCTAATATATATTATATTATAATGCACAGTAGGCTACCATGCTAGCATAGGCCTAAAATCGACTTTCTTAAATTTCTTTGAAAATAAGCTTTTCTTATTGTAAAAAGCTAGCCCGATGATTGGAATCGTATTTTTGTACCCAAATTACCTTAAAAACAAAGTTAGGGGCATGTGTGATGGTCTAAAATACCCTATGCTAGCATGACCCCCACTCACAGCCCACTGTGTAATGTGTATATGAAAATTAAATTGAAGGTGACATAAATTGAAAAAGCGTCAAGCGATGGTACAATTGCATACAGGACTGACCTTATAGCTCTATAATTTACTTGTATATGAGTTATGACCAACCTGAGCTCCATCAAGTCTGTCTCCACAACAGTCCATTCTGTTGTAGATAACGACCTTGTGCACTTTGTAAAGTACTCCTAGGTTGACCTTCCACCATGCGGTACCTGAAGCCTTTGTATGTGTACAGGAACTGAAAGATGAGTTTTAACTGTGAATCCAGCCATGGTGAAGTAATGAGTTCAACATATATGATACTAGTGTAACCCGTGCCTACGGCCGGGACTTGACTACTGCAGTTGAATTGCAAAGGTTTAGTCCCTCCAAGAGATACCTGCCACCAGGCACGATCTCCGCAGTTTGTTCTGTAGGTATGAGTGCAAGAGCTGAAAGCCAATACAGAGTTAGAAACTTAGAAACTTTTCCAATGCCTGATTTAAATTTTAACATGAAATAAGCATCAAATGAAAATAGACCTTCATTCTGAAAATTTCATGCACAAATATTGAAGAATTGTTCAAATGTTCAGTGCTAATCTGAATAATTTTAGCGACCCAAAATTGCACGTATTGCAGCTCATAAGTATCAAAATTCAAATATACCTTTATTCTGAAAATTTCATGCACAAATATTGAAGAATTGTTCATTTGTTCAGTGCTAATCTGAATCATTTTAGCGCCCTGGGATAGTGACTAGTGAGATAGTGGCGATTTTAATCGATCCTTGGAAGAGGTACAAAGCGTAACTTACTTTTGGGTCCAACTATTAGCTGTGTTGCCATCAATTGCTCTTGCCGCATTGCCTCCCCATCCGGTACTACTTTGAGAGGCCTGCCTGTCATCAGAGTCTATAAGTTGATATTTGCTGAAAGTCACTGAAAGATGGATAAAGTCTTGAGATGACAGTCATCATGTTGTTTTTATTTGAAATCTCTAATTGTAAATATTTTGTGTGTGTGTGTGTCTGTGTGTGTCTGTAATTTACGAATGGTTAAATCAAGAATCAGATAACCTTGTGACGCATTGAGGCACTGAGGCACTGAAGGCACCACTTTGAGGCCCTTGAGGTACCAGTTTTGAGACCCTGAGGCACCTGAGGCAACAATTTGCAACACTTGATGGCACTAAATGATGATAATTATGGGATAAATTTGCTACCCTAGGCTTATCATGAATTGAAAGGCCTAACAATTCATTAAAAAATGTCAGAAAGGTGCTAAACTGTCCTAAGGACATGATGGTGTGATAAGAGTTGGGATGTCTTAAACGGTTCTAAATTGGTTCGTCACTACTTGGGTGGATAATTATGGATGGTAATGTGGCACCTTCTTCATCCAAAGATCTCGTACAATATGCTTGTGATATTATATTATAATTATTACCATTTTTATTAAGTTGTTAACTAATTAATAAAACAAATATTTAATAAAACAAATATTTATTTTTACGGCACAATCAAACAATATAAATAATAAATAAATCAGGGGAGGTTTGAAGAGGTTTCAAGTGCCGAAGGCCACTGCTTATCTTTAGGATTTGAGAGTGACCTGTGCTTAAAATCCCCTCAACCATCCACTACGTCAATATACTTATTATACAAATGTAGAAAAATATAATAATCTAAAATTGCTTATTGGTCTAGTTTGGTGACATAGAAGAGCCCAGTTGAGTTTTAGTTTAGGTTTATGTTTTAAATCATAGTTTGAAAGGTTAGCCATGTTTCATGGCAGAGAGAGATATCATGTGTGCAGAGCCGTACCGGATGTAGAATTTGAGATATAATATAGATTAGTTACCATATATTGGGGTCACCTCGATTTTGGAGGGATAGCAAGTGCTTTTTAAGGTTAGATTTAATAATACCTGACGAGGCTGATAAGTCTGAATTTTTGGAAGAACCCGGGATTATTATCCCATCTTCATTAGCATCACATATTTCGAATACATAGGGGATGAGATCATTCCAAATTTTCGTAGAGGTGTACAAAACGTTCTGTTGGGAGATATCTAACCTCAGTTATAGGAAAATCAGACGAAGTTTTTCATTTCTAGGACAGAACTTGAGAAGATCTGTAATCGACTGGGGGACATCAAATTTAAGAATTTTGAATAGTTCCATAAATGTATGGTACATGTGCAGATTCTCCAGGTTCATAATTTTCTGCTCAGTGAATAGCGGTTTAGTGTGTTCAAGACAGTAGTTCTTGCTAGCCATGTGTTCGTTATAAGTTAATGATGATATTATACAATTAAGTACATCATTATTCATTAAATACAATACTAACGTAATTTAATCCATTCTAGGAAAATGATGTGATCTCGGAGGCTATTCGTCTACTCGACGTTGGTGGTTGCTCTACGGTGTACCAGTGCTGCTAGCCACGCCAGTTGCGGTTGTATGTTGGTGGACTTGTGTTAGGAGTCGTGTTCTTCGGTGTGACAAGTGTGTACTATCGGTGAGAAGATAGATTACAGTTGCAGTGTACGGTCGGTGTGACCAGTGTTTGTACTATCGGTGAAAAGATAGATTACAGTGTACGGTCGGTGTGACCAGTGTGGACTATCGGTGAATATAAGTCAATTGGATTGTACTTAAGATAGATTCCAGTACGAAGAACTTCAGAGAAGAACTCCACAGATCTCAACAGAAGACAAGTAATAGTGTCGGTGTATTGTAGAGATCTCAACAGAAGACAAGTAATAGTGTCGGTATATTGTAGTAGAGAAGTTACATTGATTGATAGTGATTTGGATACTTTATATAATTGAAGTGATTGAGTTATTATATATATTGAATTACTATTTACCTTTGTTAGTCATTGCAGTGCGAGTGCGTAGTGGAGTGTGTTAGTTTGGAAAGCAATTGACTAGGAAAGATTCACTTAGTACAATATTGTGTATTATCTCATTATCAGTGTTCAAGTAGATAGTATTGTGTATTATCTAAATTTACTTATTCCAGTTTTATAATATCGTGTTTATCTTATTATCACTTGAACGTGCACAGGTTAAGTTGTATTATTTATGATCAAAATTGGGAATGTTACCAAATAGCAGTCTTATACATCGTTTTTGAATTGCAAAGATTTTATTCAGCTTATGTTTAGGGATCCCACCCAAGCAACTTATACAATAGCTAAGATGTGACATAAAAAGAGCATTGTATAGTTTCAAATATTCAGATTTGGGAATAAATTTGCAAATTCTCTTAATCGATACAATACTGGAGTTCAGCTTCAAAGATAAATGATTAAGATGTGGTTCCCAACTTAGCTGTTCGTCTATTATCACCCCAAGAAGCTTTGTACATTGAACTTTTTTTAGCCTTTTTTTCATCTATTGAAATCGTTAGATTCCTGTTAAAGGGCCGTGTTCTGGCACAGGTCTGTGTTGCTCTTGACAAACCTGGCTGAAAATGCATATAACATAAACAACTTTTCCCTGCATTTATATGTAACTTGTTAGACTCCATATAGTTACTGACTTGTTTCATTACATGATTAGCTTTTTCAAAATCTTCCTGTGCTGAACGACCAGTCACAAAAATATTTGTATCATCAGCAAAAAGGACGAATTCAGCCAAGCTTGAGGAGCTCACAATATCATTTATATAAATCAGAAATGGTAGAGGTCCTAACACTGACCCCTGGGGTACACCATACTCAACTGAACACTTGTCCGATTTTTCAGTTTGAAAAGAAGTTACTCGGCTACGGTTTGTAAGATAACTAGCAAGAGTTTTTAGTGCAATACCTCTTACTCCATAGTGTTCAAGTTTATGCAGAAGTTTGTCGTGCTCAATTGTGTCAAATGCTTTACTTAGATCAATAAATATTCCAATTACATGATTTTTCTGTTCAATCTCATTAAGTATTTTATTGACAGAATAGTTTACGGCATGAGATGTTGAGTGTTGTTTTCTAAAACCAAATTGTCGATCATAAATCACGTTCATAGCACTGAGGTATAATATATAATTATATAACCTATTATAGATTATTTTTTCAAGTATTTTTCCAAACATCGGTAATGTAGAAACAGGTCGATAGTTATCAAGGCATCGTGAGTCTCCTTTTTTATAAATTGGTGTAATAGAGCCCGTTTTAAGCTTGTTTGGAAAGACCCCATTGTCCAAGAACCAATTAAAGAATCTAGAGATATGACCAGACAGATAATTTACACTCTTTTTTAAGACTTTAACAGAGATATCACTTGCCTTCCCATTTTCAAGGCTACCAATAATTTTACTTATCTCTTCCTCGTCACAGGGGCTGAGAAAAAAAGAGTTCACTATTCTTTCTCTGCCCTGGAGGTATTGTTTAAACTTCGTTTTATTGAAATTGCCATCAGTTACCGTACGAGATGGTACAGAAGATTGAACTTTTGAATTAAGATTACGAGCAATAGTTGTAGACGAGAAGTAGATGTTAAATCCGTTTGCAATCTCACGGCGTTCAGTTACAATTCTACCATCAATTAAGAATGATGCTTTTATATCTTTTTTAGATTTTCACCTGAGTTCGTTAATCAATTCCCAGGTTTTTTAAATATTGCCTTTAGCAAGTTCAAATTTTTTCCCATAGTGGGCTTTTTTCGCAGATTTTATAGCTCTGTTTAAGATAGAACGATACTCCTTATTCTTAAGATATAAAGTTTCCCCACCTAATGGGTTGATTTTGGTACACGAAACCTTCCATCGCTTGTAGTGAAAGCATTTAGTAAACACAGATTTAATCAACGCAGAAGTGATCCATGGATTCATCAATCTATTGCGTTTTGATTGAATCTAATCACTAGTTTCTTATTTAGAGAGTTGATAACTGTTCTGTTTACTCATGAACTCATGTTTGGGTTGACACAGAATTAGTTCCAAGATACTCTTATCAAATTTAAGTTGATGAAATGAAACAAAACCAAATTTAAATTTCCATCCTTTAACGACAAATTAATGACAGCTTTGAAAACTATACTCAGTAAATCTATTTGGGATCACCTGGTTAAAAAGTGAGTTTTCGGTCTTTCTTGTCAAGCATATCAATACGAACGGTATCAATATGAACAATAGATGTGATTCCAAATTACAATGGGCATTTTCTTTGGGCTTATTTGCGCTATTCTATATCATTGGGCCATGACTTTTGGTATCATTCCAACAACCAATCAATTAACTTTGCTGTTTTTATTACATCTTTCAAAACATTCGATGACTGGTTATAACATTATCCATACCATTACCAACTACAAAGTTATCTGCCTCTTGGTATTAGAACTTTTAACGGGTGAGGGAAACGTTCAGTTACTTCAAATTCATCGAAGCAACCCACTCACCCACTGACAGTGACAAAAATAAATTTTAAACCTGGCAGCACCGCATATTCAATCTGAACCGAAAATTATACTTCTATTTAATTAATTACACAAATGTGTTTCCTTACGTCGAGCAGTTGCCTAAAAACTTCCATTACCCTGATAAAATTGAGAACCAAAGCAATCACATGGGCAGCTGACTTAAAAGATACCTGGACTCCAAACAAATTTAAATTACAGTAATCTAATTGCAGCGGCACTTACTTGCTTACTATTACTATCATGATTGTACTATATTCTGAAAAGCTCTCAGATCTATTTTGGGCGTTTTTAACGACTTTTTTTATCAAAAATTTGTTCACAAGATCGAATTTATAACTGATAATTCATTCGATAGTTTAGTTTATTTGATATCGATATTGATAATTGATATTGTTATTGTTATTGTTGAATGAGTAAACTCCTACGATAAATGAAAAAAAAAAACCTTTTTTACGAAGGGACTTGGAGTATAAACCATTAACGACTAAGTTCGCATAAATGCCTATCCAACCAAGAATTCAGAAGTTTAAAAATAAGTTATAAGAAAGGAGGTATAAATATTCTGAAATGAAAAACTTGATATTTCAAATATTGCGTAATGGTAAGATGATTATATTTTAGTTTACCTTTTTCGCCATAAGTTTCCACCTCGCAAAGAGTCAAGGCATCGCCAGAAGTTTGAATGATTTTAATCAAGTCTGCGATTGTATCCCCGCATTCGATGGTGTAAGAGTCTTTTCCGCTTTGATAGTCTATTTGACCACACTGTTTAACAAAATTGCTTCCACTAAAGGCTTCAACCTTAAAAATGGTGGGGTCATTGATATAGTTAATAAGCTTATAATAATTTTCCTCCCTTAAATACCTTTATTAAATATCTGTGTTGTTGTAATATAAGGAACTTTAAATTTGTTAAAATAACAGATTTAATCGTATCTGGAAAAACTGAGAAGGAACTATGTTTGAGCAAAACTTTGCTTCATCAGTTCTACTTTGACACCTGTCTGCTCTAATATATACATTATATTATAATGTATATATTAAGTTATAATATGTAAATGAAAATTAAATTGGAGGTGACAACAATTGAAAAAGCGATGGTACAATCGACCTTAGCTCTATAATGTACTTGTATATGAGTTATGACCAACCTGAGCTCCATCAAGTCTGTCTCCACAACAGTCCATTCTGTTGTAGATAACGACCTTGTGCACTTTGTAAAGTGCTCCTAGGTTGACGACCCACCATGCGGTACCTGAAGCCTTTGTATGTGTACAGGAGCTGAAAGATGAGGTTTAACTGTGAATCCAGCCATGGTGAAGTAATGAGTTCAACATAATATATAATACTAGTGTAACCCGTGCCTACGGCCGGGACTTGACTAGTGAGACTACTGCAGTTGAATTGCAAAGGTTTAGTCCCTCCAAGAGATACCTGCCACCAGGCACGATCTCCGCAGTTTGTTCTGTAGGTATGAGTGCAAGAGCTGAAAGCCAATACAGAGTTAGAAACTTAGAAACTTTTCCAATGCCTGATTTAAATTTTAACATGGAATAAACATCAAATGAAAATAGACCTTCATTCTGAAAATTTCAATTAAACAAATAATCAATTCAATTAAACAAATAATCAAAGTTTTAGCACATTTTACAGCATAAAATTTAAACAAATGAAAACATATAATGCTCTTAGTGGTAAATGGCCGTTTGCTCTGAGCTGTATGGTTTTTTGACAATCAACTAGCGGGGCAAGGAATGTACTGGCTGGTAGCTTTTGTACACATCAGAACGTTAGTCTGGTTGATTAGTGACCAAATTAGAGGCGTTGATAGGAAGGCATTATAATTTGTGGGTGTAAGAGGGAATATTTGGCATGCATTATTCTAGCAGCTATTTTGTAACAAATGGTCTTTACGATTATTAAGGACGGTAAGTATTTTGGGTGTTCAATACTAAATCATGGCTAAATGTCTAAGTGGGGGCCGGGGGTTTAAATTTAGGGGAGAAAAAGAAATGAATATTGGGTTAAAATATTAATCATAGATGTCAACCCTGATATAACTATTGTACTAAAAATTTCATGCAAACATATTGAAGAATTGTTCAGAGTTATTCTGAATCATTTTAGCGCCCTGGGATAGTGACTAGTGAGATAGTGGCGATTTTAATCGATCCATGGAAGAGTTACAAAGCGTAACTTACTTTTGGGTCCAACTATTAGCTGTGTTGCCATCAATTGCTCTTGCCGCATTGCCTCCCCATCCGGTACTACTTTGAGAGGCCCGCCTGTCATCAGAGTCTATAAGTTGATATTTTGCTGAAAGATTGATGAAGTCTTGAGATGAGAGTCATCATGTTGTTTTTTATTTGAAATCCCCAATCGTAAATATGTGTGTGTGTGTGTGTGTGTGTGTGTGTGTGTGTGTGTGTGTGTGTGTGTGTGTGTGTGTGTGTGTGTGTGTGTGTGTGTGTGTGTGTGTGTGTGTGTGTGTGTGTGTGTGTGTGTGTGTGTGTGTGTGTGTGTGTGTGTGTGTGTGTGTGTGTGTGTGTTTGTGTGTGTGTGTCTGTGTGTCTGTGTGTGTCTGTGTGTCTGTGTGTGTGTATGTTTGTGTGTGGGTCTGTTTGTGTGTGGGTCTGTGTGGGTCTGTTTGTGTGTCTCTATTTGTGTATGTGTGTTTGTGTGTGTCTCTGTAATTTACGAATGGGTTAATCAAGAAACAGACTGTACTTCTAAGTCTCTCTGAACAAAATATACTGAAATATACACAATTATGACTTTGTGACGCTTTACAGACCGTTGCACCACTTTGAGGCACCAATTTTGAGGCACTGAGGCAACAATTTGCAACACTTGATGCATCGTACAGGGTTAGAAACATAACATGATGATTAATGGATTGATTTCGTGACTAACCAGACCACTCAGTTAGATAAACAGTTTTTATAAATAACTGTGGCAGTTCATTGTCGTCATAAAACCAATATTTAGTCCATAACTGTTGTTTTGCTCAACCTGCATCACTCGATAAACTTATTCAACCATTGAGATCAAAAGTTACACTCTTATTCACTCGACAATCACGTGACTTACTTTAACACGTTCTCTATGTGATTCTTGTTGACTATTCAAAACCTTATCAGCTTATCCCTCTAACCCTAACTATTAAACAAGATACTATATCTTACTGTATGTCTGCTTTAAAAAATTAGAGTTATAGGAGTATATCTGAGGACAAGACATTGCTGAGATGATAACTACCAATACGGGTCACCTTTAAGTATGAAGCTGTTTGAGTTTACTGTTCTTAGACTCAACAAAGTTGAAATGAAATGAAAAGTAAGTTTAGTTTAGAATAAATCTTCAGCCGTATTAAACGAGCGTGCCTTCCATTTTAAAATAGTATTTCAGTTATATAGTAGTTCATAAGAAGACTCGAATCGTTTTTATAAACTGAACTTGGTCTGATCAATAATTTTGTTAACTCACTTTCAGGCTCCGTAGAAGGCTTTTCTGAAATTACATTCGTTACCTTCATGAAGGAGCACTAGCAAGTTGAAAATTGGAAACTTGCACACGTGGGGACATGCCCAAAATCTTTTTAATCTATTACAATTGTAAGCGAATGGGAAAAGCGAGCGACCGATTTCATTCTCGGTATAATCAATTTGTATTTGCGGACGGTAATTATTCGAATTAATATCATTTCCTTTTGTTTGGTAGAGAGAGACACTGTTGCGGTCCACTCTACCCATGATTATGGGTTTTGGTAAAATAAATACTGACAAATTTATATATCCTACCTGGTATGATACGTGAGTTACACAAGCTATCATAGTCGCATGTTTCGATTGCACAGGCATAATCCTTCAAATCGTTCAAAACATTCTCAAGATCAGATTTTGATTCCCTACATTTATCCAAGTCTGATGACACATCTGCCGCCTTCATACATTTATAATTTTTCATATAGCTGAACCTTTCACCCTCAAAAAAGGTCACGGTAAGAGATGAGCACACGGTTCCCCCCGGACACTGAAAAAAGACAATTTTATTATTTATCACCAATTTATCACACAATCTATCAATAAAGATACATTCGAATAAATAATACCAAACTAAATTTTGGCCCTAGATTCTTAGATGGTAACATACTATAACTATAACTATAAGGGGTCGTTCTCATATTATGTAATCACTTTTTTGACCATTCCACCCCCCCCCCCCCCCCCTCCGTAATCAGTTTTACACATAGCTAGTGTATCAAGATTCAAGATTACACTAGCGTAATCATTTGGAAACCACCTACCCCCTCGGCTGATTACGTAATACTAATAATAATATGTGCAGAACGACCACATATTATAAATAGACTTGTGGAATAAATTCATACGCTAGCAGCTAGCTGGTTATACCTGAAGCCAGCTGTCTGAGTTACAGGTATTTGTAACCCCTGATTCCAAATTGACGTCTTGGCAATGGAAGCAATTAAGCGATTGAGCTCGTGCCACCATTGCCACTATTATAGCTATTGCTATATTCATTTTAGCTTCTTTGCTTTAGGCTACTGTAGATATATTGTTAATAAATGTCATTTTTTATATTGAAAAAACAGGACTCTAATAATCAGGCGTCAAAAATGTTCATCCCGACCTAGGATATAACAGCCGATGAAATGTAACTCAACGTAATGAAAACAACCGATGATAATGAGGACCTGTACGTTCAGGCAAAGACGAAGTTTCACTCAACAAATTAAACCGGGTTAAGTGAATAAGGAGTAGGATCGTTAAAACTCTGCGACTGCAGGGATTATTTACAAAATAACGCCGCAACTAATTTTCTATCCCATTTCTTAGCAGTATCCCAGAGGGGCTTATAGCAGCCTACAAAAGCTACAATCAGACAGTAAGCTTGCAGCTACAACATCATCAAAACATACCCTTTAATCCAAATTTATAAACTGCAGTACGCAGTGAGTAGCCGAGGCGCCGTGCAGCTCTATCCGCATTATCTTCAATGATTAAAGGTATCTATAAAATATAACTTATTGTTCCATTGAAAACTTATTGTTGTTTCATTGGATTGTTTCACAATAGAGTCTGAGGTCTGCAGCTGAGCACGTCAACTTAAGCCCCTTCCAGCCATTGCCACGCTACCATCTAATATAGCAGGTTTTATAGAAAGGCTGATAATCACTTAATCAATTTGAAGCCATAATATAATTATCCCGAAAAATTAACCGCCAATCGAAATTATCCTGCCTATTTATCTTATTTGCGCAGAGATGTATCCCAAGCAGCGATTATTCAATCGATTTGTTGATTATTAGAAAATCCTGCAAAATTTTAATTGTGACAAAACCTGCCTTGCATCTTTCCACTTATACCCACTATCCCACAGCAGGTTCGTTCTAATATTAAAAAGGCAGGTTTTCCGTTAAATAAAATGTCGAATGCTGCAGATTTAATGCAGATCTTTCATCTTGCGTAAGCTTAGATAATTCGAATCAATTTGTTGCGTGATTAAACCTAAATTGGCAGGTTTTGTAGCAAAGTTTAATGTTCCTACAAGAGATTAAATTAAGTTAGTATGGTTTTAATGATGTACTTAATTATCATATTATATCATCATTAACAAAAAATGTTGATTCTTGCAGGATTTGCCAAAATAGCAGGCTTTTGGATAATTTGAGTGTACAATGTGTAATACTGTAATAATCGTATAACTAGGTTATTAGTAGAAGCTCTTACGGGCATTTTCTGCTCGATACGCTAGGGACTCACAGCCGTACATGATGGCATTAAAATTATAAAGCTATTAAAACCAGGAAAACCTACAGGACCACTCAAGAATGTGAGGCCACTCTGTCTGTTGATTGGCACGACAAAACTACTTTCCCTGATAAGTTGATAACAGTAACAGTGTTACTGTTTTCAGGGAGAACTCAGAGGCAGGTTGGTCGATATACAGGCCCATAAAGCTGGACACAGCAGCTGCTGTGCTAACAATAAACTAACATCGTATGGACGCGACGTATCCTGATTTCTTTTGTAGGTGAAATTCTTAACTCTCTTAATGCAGTTAACAATTATGAATCAACGAAAATTTGCTTTGCGTCAGAGTGAAGGTATGTTTTTTTTGATCTAGGAAAAGATTTGGAACATCATTCAAGAATTCAGGAGGCATGAACCTTGCTCGGATATTAGATCATGAAAATTCAGGAGGCATGAACCTTGCAGGAGGCATGAACCTTGCTCGGATATTAGATCATGAAAATTTGTGGAATCCATTTATCAAAGAAATGGATTGATGACCAGGAAACTTATGCTCTATAGTACGTTGTTTTTTATTAAGTAGAAAGCAGTTGGAATGTTTGTTACCTGGACAATTAGATTTGCAATCTACAGGAGAGACTGGAGAGAGTTTAGCGACTTTTATTAGATTATTTAACCTCCAGAGGTCAGATATTCAAATCTTTCCGTAAATCATCTATCAAGTTTTCCGTCTATTCTATTGAGTCATGAATCAGAATAGACGGATTAGCGATTACCGGTCTCATACCGTCTTTATGATGACCTGATACTGGATACAGCTTCTAGTTCTCTGGAGTCTGGCTGGATGTAAAGAAAAGGATTGTTCTCATAATACTACTGCTGTCTCACAAATCATTGCTAGGATGGGCACCTACTTATAAGCTGGACATGTTTAGGTACACACACCAGGCTCACTCATTAAAACTCATTTGTCAATGTTTCATCGTTTAACTGTAAGTTGGGTGAGCGATGCAGGCTTGTCCGCTGTGGTTCAAGAGATCAGCGGCGGCGTTAACCAAAACAACACCGAAAGCGGCGGCTTGGAATCAATGGCAAGTAAATTTTGTTTTTCGTGCAGTTAACTTTATCGACAGTTCGTGCTAGTGTAGCGAACCACTTAGTCTAATTTAGTAACTGTAATACTATTAGTAGAAGCTCTTACGGCATTTTCTGCCCGACCTAGGATACAGCCGATGAAATGTAACTCAACGCAATGAAAACAACCGATGATAATGAGGACTTGCACGTGCAGACAAAGACGAAGTTTCACTCAACAAATCAAACCGGTTAAATGAATAAGGAGTAGGATTGTTAAAACTGTGCAGGGATTATTTACAAAATAAATATTAACGGGTGATACTGATACTCATAAAATATTTGTCCAACTCGGCGCGCGTCTTGATAGGTTATAAACCTACAACTATTACTATCGTGTCCATAACAATAGCTTACAAATCAAATTAACTCATCAGAAAGATGTCAACTTTTGGTACACACTTTTTGTACAAAATTAATCAAAATCGGAGACAAAAAATTCTGTGCCAACTGATGGCACTTATTAGTTATTACATTGACTATAATCTTATAATGAGAACAGTTCTCAGGTGCAGGTTACTGCGTAATAAGAAACTCGATCGAGGTGCATAGACAAAGTTTCCACCTAGGCACTCAGGCAACTGTATACCAGTGTGAACTGTTTGCTCTTAACACATCAGCACACTGGGTAACTAACACTACTACAGAACCTGGGAGTATAACATTCTTTTTAGATCCACACTCCACAGGCAGCAATTTTAGCAGTCACATACCACACGGTCACATCTATAACCAGCTTGATTAATTATATACATTATACGTATTCGTCAATTCTGGAATCTGGTCACGACCATACGAACAGTATAAAACCAAGAATTGTATTAATGAGTGGTGTTGAAGAGAGGTCATCAGGTTAGGTCACAGTTGTACTTGTGCCCTATTTGACGACAAAAACATTTAATTCATCACAGGGCAAGAAGACCGTTAAAAGGACTTAAAGAATAATTTAGCAGAATACCTACATTTAGCGGTCAGTTCATTGGGATTTGGCGATTTGTCACTGAGGACGGAGAACTAGAAGTTTGCCGGTGAGGACGGAGAACTAGAAGTTTGCCGGTGTTCTATGTGATACGATTAAGCGACACCATCATCAGCATGTTATTCTCCAAGTATGTTTTAAGGCTGTGAAATATAACAAACCACATCATGGTCGCAGTTATAGATTTTAATTATATATTTCAATGTTGCCATGGGGTGGCAAGTCCCTATTCATCGCAGTCCGATAATTTTAATGCCTATCAACAAGGTCAAAAGGAAATCGCGGCACGTCCCATTCTCCACGACAAATTTGTTAAGTGAAATTTGGAACAATGATAACATTGATCAATTGTTAAGACAATTAATCTATATTATAATTTTATAACATACCTTTGCGAACACAATATCTATATGGACAAAAACTCATGAGGGTAAAGGAAATATTTCTACGACAGTGAGTCGAGGGTTCCTCCCACATATCCTCTAGAGTTCTGGAATCATTTCGCCAGTATTCTTCAGGATCCGGAGTTCCTCGGACCTCTAACATGGTGGAGCAGTATTCTGTACGACCTTCTTAAGTTATAGCTTCTATGTACAGAGTTGTCATATGAACTCTACCCCAGATCTAGCCGATTTCTAGGTCAATTATATTCAATCCATGGATCACATCACTAATCTAAATTATACGCCACAAGCTTCCATGTTAATTACTTGATGACATATACGGTGGTCATATCACTTCTGACCCAAGGTCTGGCAGCCGATGCCGCAACCTCTAAGTAGCCATCTCTAAGTCGTACACACAAACCAACTAGCAAGTCATTACGCTACAAACCAGTCTACCCCTTAAATTCATAATTCTATTCGTGCAAATACATTATATTTCCTAATCCTATTGTCTGATCCCAACCCTAACTCTAACCCAATCCCTAACAAAAGCATATGCTGAAATCCTAACCCTAACGATAAATTCGACCAACTTCCTTATTTTTATATGGTCATATCACGTGATTGAGACAGTTTTTCGCCACTATATCGACAGGTAAGCATTTAACCCTATGTCATGGGGGTGATTCGGAATCAGCGTCCGAAAACACATCAATTCAAGTTGGTTTCAACTGTCGGGGGCCCTTTTAGAAAAATCTCGAAGATCGACTGTAGAGTGATTTAGCACGCTCGGCATATTCCAGCAATTAAGCAGGTACTAAGGGAGCCTGGTGTCTGGCATTCTGGTGACATAGGCCATGGCCAAAGTCAGTTGTTTCTTGAATAAGTAAAACTGACTAAAAGTTTCAGTAAAACTAACAACTAAGATAGCAAATTCTAAACAAACGTTCTAATAAGACTATTGATTATAATCTGTTTATAGTCTATAAAATTGTGACTCGTAGTTGTCGACTTAAGGGGCACATGATAACAATAATCATTGTAGTTATAGCTATCTTTAGCAAGTTGCCCAATGCCCATTCAATATGGAGTGAGAGACACATCTTGATGAGTACGTTCATTTGTTAGATTAATCTCGTTCAATTTTCCCTTAATCAAACATCGTCACATTTGAAGAACAATATATAATTGTATTCATCAAACTACATTCTCAACTAGTTCGATGAGGGTTCCATCAACTGCTAGTTCCCCTAATTCATCTTGTAGCTGTTGTTTCAAAATGTACGATAACAC